TGTCAGTTTCAAAATGCAATGTTATTTTGGAACAAAAAGTCAAAATATTTCACCTAGAAAATGTCAATGAATAACATTTATACTTCTCTGAATTTACTCTTTTGGCCAAACTGTTTTACAACATGATCTGACTTTCTGAATAGTTTCATTCCCTCTGAGACTGCATATCTGTAAATTTTATATACCCTGAAAATACTTTCAACCCTCTCTACTGAACATGCAGGTACTGCTAAGGTCTGTATTAGCTTGAGCATCATTCTGCAAGGGCACATTTTTAGGTGGTGAGGTCTGCCCCAGGCTGCCCATGGGGCTGTGGCCAAGGGCAGTCCCTGGAACAGTTTGCCTGCAGCCAGGCAGGATCAGGCCAGGTTAGGATCTCTTGCTCTCAGAATGCGTGTGCCAGCTTGCTCTGTGACTCTGATCCTCTTACCTCCCTGCAAAGTCTTGCCTCCCCTCATATCTACACATATCTAGGGCCTGATCCTGGAAATTTCAGTAAATTTCACTGCCAGGAGATTCCTTTGAAGGCAAGGCAGCTGTTCCCAGTATGACCAGGAGCAGGTGTGGACAGGAGCAGGCCTACAACCCATGCACAAACACCTGTGCACTGTATTTGTGTGTGTTCATCTTGTACAATGCTAAGGAAGTTGTGCTAGTAAAGCCCATTTTCCTTGAAGATTGTCAGTCTTAGTAAGAACTAAGAAACTAGAACAAAGCCATCATGAATTCTAATGTATTTGAACATATGGCCCTAGGACCCGTTATTACCATATCAGTCAGATAAAGGAGTGGGAGAGTGGTTGCAACAGCACAGAAGGAAAAATGTTAACACAGCAAAAGGCCTCTTTTAATTTTAAGGAAATATTCAGTCTGTGAATTTAGTTTCCAACTTTAAAAAGTCTTGCGGATAGTATCAATTTCTTTCAGTTTTTATTCAAATACTATTTTTTCATTATAGATTAAGTACTTATTTTCTGTTTAAAATTGAGCCTATTCTGTAAATCTGCCTTTAGAGGGAAGGGTGTTTGAAATACTGTGTTTGCTCATTGTTCATGGGAGGCTAGGGAGGTAAGTAAACTAATCTCAAGCAAAAAGTGAATTCAGGTCAGAGTCCATTTCCAAGGCACATCTAAAAAGCTAATCAGTTCATTTAGTCTCTGTCCTCCAGCTCTGAAATGTATATCAGCAGCAAATGTACAGTTCCCAGGTCTCCAAACAGCCATCAGCTGATTCTGCCAGTTGCATATGTGTGAAAGAGAGAGGGAAATGTATGAAACCATTTAATTATATGTATCTGGAGCAAGAACTGGACCTGGGGTTGCCACGAGCTTAATGAGAGGTTTAATCAAGTTTAGCTGAGATCCTCTAGAATTTCCAGCCATCTCAGACATGGGTAGTGTGACTTTTTCCTGCTAATCCTCTGTAGGCATAAGAGCAGTTACAGAATTTTTTGAGGATGCAAAAAATGCATTTAATAGATGAATACAACTTGCCATGGGCATGGAGGCCTGGCAGCAGGTTAGGGAGTCAGGAAAAGAGGTCTGGTTGAGTTTCCTGAATGCAGATGGTGCAGAGCCAGGATGGATGGTAGTGTCTTGTGACAAACTACTACCACCACGTTCCAAAGCATTGCACCATCTGGATTGTGATCGTTTGAAAATTTCATGGTTTATATGTCATTAAAACATTTCTAAAGCTTTCCTTGAGTTTTATACCAATCTTTCTTCTCAGTTTACAGCTAGGAAAATACAGAAACATTTTGATAATTGCTTTTAATACTTCCATTAGCCTGCATCAGCTTCCTTTAAAAGGATTTTTCTTTGAAAATATTCCAGTGTCTTCTGTCTTTCCACAGATATCCACATTAATCAGTTTTCTCAAGACAGAGCAAATTATCTAAGATAGATTTATCCTGCTAAAGGAGAGGATAAGAAAGGAATCTGGGAAGAGCTGAAGTAGTTCTTGCATTGGGTCTGTTTTCCAGCAGCTCCAGCATGAAGGAGAGTTGAGGGTGGATTCTGGTTCTGGGTTTGCCATGCTTGCTGGGGACTGGCATCATCCTGCCCTGTGCAGCGTAGCCACATCTGTCATCAGGGAATGGAACTTTTGCACTGAAATGTACACACTCAGTCTGAGCTTTTGTCAATAGGATTTTCTACCTCCTGCCAATGGGATTTAGGTTTATGCAGTAAGGAATATGATTTTAGCTTGGAAAGGAAAAAATAAGAGGGTTTTTCTACTATATTACAATAAACATCTAAGTACTTTCTTCTATTAAGTTTTAGTCAGGTAGGATTCACAACAGGCTAAACCTCAGTCTAGGAAAGACCTTAAGGCTACAAGCCTGATTTCTTGCTTCTGGCTCAGTTTTGCAGTTAAATCTTACTGCAATATTCATTGGCTTTGTTGGGCTTTTTTTTTTTTTCCTTTGTCATTTCCTTTTGTACTGTATCTTTGTGTCTTCATGATGTCTTAAGGAAAAATTTCTCATTACCCACAAAAAAGGCAGGCAGAAACTACATTGTAATCTTGAATATGAGCAAACTTAATACTAACTGACACCTAGTCAAAAGAAAGGGATGAAAGCCCTTGTGAAAATTTGTCAACACCTTGAGACTAGAATATCCCAAAAACTTCCTAAAAACTCACCACATACAAGTATAAAATTACTTGCCAGAAGATTCTGAATGAAGCAAAACAAGATGTAAAATATTCACTGACATCACAAACAGAACGAGAGGCTAAATTTGTGCGCTATAAATTCACTATAATTTGTTTACTCAGCTTCAGCCAGTTTATAGGTTATGCTGGAAATCTGCCAGCTTCTGGTACAGCTGAGGCTCAGTAATTCAAGAAGAAACCTTGTTACTGCTTATGATAAGAGGCTCTCAGTGCTCCTTATGAGATGGAAAGTCAAATGAAATGAAAGTAGATCTTGATGTGTTCCACACTGAATTTCAATTCTCCTTGTGGGCAAATGGGTGAGAACATTGTCACTGGGTGTGTGCTGCCAATGGGGCTGGTGGGCCAGGCTGAGGGGCTGGTGCCATGTGTCAAACACCAGTGTCCAGGAAAGAACAGTGGTACCCACACAGAAAACATGGAAACAAGCAATGGCCTAGGATTTTTCCAAGAGGATTATTACAGGGCCTCATGGCCCAAGAAAACTATGACCACCAACTATTGAGAAATTTCTCTTTATGCCCTTGAATCATGCCCAGCTTCTGCACGTGCTGGATAACAGATTGCTGGTAATGCAGCAGAGGGCAGCAATGGAAAATGACCCTTGGAGATTCCATGCTCTGTGTATTTTGCAAACAGTAAACAGGCATAGGGTAAATAAAACATAAAAAGACCAAAGCAGAACAAACCCTAAATAGATCCTCTAGGAGTAATCCTCCAAAAGAAGAACGTTCAGGCAATGGTACAACTTAGAAATTGTCAGTTTAAATATTATTTTCTCCTTATCCTCAGCCTTAAGCAAATCTTCTGCTAAAAGAGTGGGGGCCACAAATCAAATTGCCTCTGGGGCACTTGGAAGCCCAGTGGTTCAGTATCATGCTACTACATGAGAAATGCTGTGTGGAAAAGACTGTTCACATTCCATTGTCTATGCAAGAGATATGAAGAGAGCATATTCATAGCAATGAGAAGCAGAAATTCAGTATTTAACATCTGTGCACAGTAATAATTTAAAAGGGCCTTAACACAGATGACCAGCTCATGCAGCCTGTGTACTTCTGGTGGGTTTAGTGACCAGTTGCTGAGGAGCAACCTCAGTGTTGTTGCCATGCCTTAAAAATACAATATTTTCAATGAGACAGTGTCCCTTGGTTATTGAAAATAAATTAAGTTTGTTCTATCAGTCTGTTCCATTTTAATCTGATAAAATTTAAAAAAACACTTCTGTGACTAAACCCTAGGTTTTTAGGGTTAAACAATTTTCTGTGAGTCAGCTAAGAGTAATCTGCTACAATCAGAGCTCTGGATAATGGCTATATTTCAGACATACATTATGTGCACTTTAAGCAGATAAGTGTTAAAAAACGAAGTTGAAATAGCCTTCCTGTGAACTGTGCTAATACAGAATGGGAAGGATAGCCTAACTGTGAAACTTGAAAAAAGGAGGAGAAGAGATCATTGAAAAAACTTATTTCTGAAATGGTGAGCATGCATGAGGAACACAGGAAGACAGAATTATTACTGTGTCCGAGCTCTTCATGCCCTGCAGAACAAAGAGGGTAATTTGGATCCATTTTCATTTACCAATCATGCCTTTTGAAGTGAGGAGTTTGGCAAGGGTGTTTATGACTTGTTTAACAGTTACTAAATGAGCCTTTCTGTTAAAAAATCAAGCTGACTGTGACTCAGTAACATCTCAGATGCTACTACTGGTTGATTGTATTAAATTGAATGATGTCTTGAGATTTGCATGGCCCTCAGAGAACTGTCATTTACAGGATTTAACTTTCATTCAATGAACAAACATTATGCTGAGCTAGAAAACAGTAAGCAAATAAATAAATAAATAAATAAAAATCATCTTGGGTGATTATAAAGATAAGTGTGCCGGTATTTGATTTGGAGAGCTCTGCTCAGACATGCAGCAGGGATTTACACTTCTTCCCAAATGTTCTTTTGGAGATATTTACTGTACCTACAGCAGACTTTGCTGAAATCGCATTCTGCAGGATACATGTAATGTGATTTGAAATCAATAAGATAACTCCAGTGCTTCATTTTAAAAAAGAAACTTCGTGAATTTTGAACGAATTCTATGCAAAATGCACTCACACTGCAAATACTGCATTAATCATTCCCCAATTTTATCTTGATTGAATGGCAACTTGTTACCACCAGTATTTCTCAACATATTTGTTTCATAACCATATGAATGACAGAGGCAAACGATGCTTGTTAAATATATACATTGATATTTTTTACCTTCTGTTGCTACTTGAGGTAATCTTAAAATACATGCTTCACCTTCAAATGTGACAGCTGTTTAGTTTTGTTTTTATTTGAGAGCTTCAACCCATATTAGATTAGTCAGTCTTTGGTGTTCTGCAGGAGCTGTCTGTATTCCAGGCTGCAAAAACAAAAAATATTTTTTATCTGGCATATTAAAGCCAGCATATTATAAAATCAAGCACAGTATCATCTTTACAATATAAAATGTGTGAATCATTTATATGATTTTTGCTGTCAAATGTTGTTTGACAATCATCGTTTGATAATGAAATGTATAATTAATAATAAAAATGCCAACATCTGTTAGATTGCTATTACAGACTGATGCTAAGTGTACTACTTGGAATATGTCATCATTAACTTAATTAATATTAAAATCCTTTAAATACAATTTGTTTTCATTAGTTGCTAATTTAGGAAGATGCAAGGCATACCGAGTAGGTTCTGTTTTTTTCACTTTGTCAATAACCAAACTTCACAAATGCTTTTCAAACTGTTTAATTAATATAAATGTCCTATTAGCAGATTAATCCAGTTAGATGAATGTTGTGTTCAACTGGGATTGACTCAGCCTTTGCCTTAGCCAGGCTTGTCTTTTTATGGGGACACTCTCTCTGGGGATGTTGTTTTGCCTAATGTCCTGCCCACTAACCTCTTTAATTGTTCTTTCTGCTTTTTGCTGCCAAAAGCAGACACGTTTAGGTGCTCATTCAACTCCAACTGCAAAATGCAGGCCCTTGAGCTAATATTATGCAGTTATACAGTGCATGTTTATAGCCCTCAGACATTCTCCTGCTCATTGAAGAGAAAAGGTTCTGAGGTCAGGCTCCCCTGGAGGTCTGAACGGCAACTGAATGAAAAAAACCTCCCCATGAATTTATGTGTGTATATATATATTTGCTTACCTGTGTATGTATGTGTCTATTTACTACATTAACACTTACCAAGAGAATTACTGGGCACTGGGAAGGTTGTGTGCTGAACAGAGGCCATTGTAGAGAAGAAATTCCCATTTCTTCTATCGTGCCATCTGCAGGGAAGGTCTTATCTCTGGGACAAACTGTGAGGGACTGCAGAAAAACAACCTATAAAGCAAGCCTGCCTATCTTTTAACATGCAAATTAAAGTCATCCTCCAGTAGTCTGAGGGCAACCTAGGGATTTGCTGAGGCCATCTGAAAGCTGCAAAGCTGTTCAGTAATGGGGGTGAAAACATCTGGCTGTGGATGAAGATCTCCCAGAAACATCCCATTCTTCTGGTCACAGCTGAATTGGGAGGCATTTTGTAATTTTTGTGCTTGGAGTCTGACAGTCGTGTGTGTCCCTATAGTCTTTCTCTGAAAAGCTGCTAAGGCTATTGAAAACAGTAGAACCACATAGACACATTTCATATTGATTTATGAAACTGATATCTAAATATTTGTGATGATTGATAAAATCAATTTTAAAATAATCCCTACATTTTTGCAACAGTGGATGTTGCAAATTTTCATAGGAGCAATGCATACAGCAGAGACTCACCACATGGTTCTTCACATGTAATTAAAGCTGTCCACAAAAAGTGCCCAGATCTCCACTTCCTGCCTGGGAAGAGATCAAGCTGGAATGAGAAACTGCTTTTTTTTTCACATCCTTTTCCTCTTCATTAAACTCTCCATCCACCATTTTGTAGCAAATGCAATAGAAAGCAACTATTGCTGGTTTTGTGGAGTTACAATAAATAATTTATGAGTTGGAATTAACAGATTGTGAAAATACACTAATTAGGAAAATGAAAAAAAAAAAAAGGAAAGCCAGCATTTATGCTGACCACAAAGATAAGACATTTCTTCAGTTCACAGCGATAAGGAAATTAAAATCATCAGTGAGGTTTTGTACATAATTTAACAAGAAGAGTGATGCCATATTTCAATATGAGCTGTAACAGCTTAGTGTCCTGTAGTACCTTTGCTTTTGTAGTATTCCTCCACCTGCAGAAGGAGGCTGACACCTTCTCAAATGAAAGTTTTCAAGCTAAGCTGGTTCAGTTTGATTGGCATAAATTTGGGGAGCTCCCAGGTGCAGCTGAGCTGGCTGACCTGAAGGAGCCTCCAGGAGGGTGAAAGGAGCAACCTTTGTCATATGGGCTGAGGGCACTCATCTCTTCCACCAGGACTGGGCTCTATTTCTGTAAAATCCCCTCAGCTGGATGTGTCAGTCCAATGCCTGAAGTTAGGTGAGATGAGTCGCACCTTTTGTCCTCATCACTCATGGGAAGAGTGACTAATTTCTCCTAACCACTCTCAGGAGCCAAGAGAAGTTTAAGACGCAAACAATTTGTTACAGCTTTAGTGAACATTAAAGCAACCAGAAAGGGATGCAAGAAGCAGGCTGCTCCAAGGCTTTGTTTTCATGTGAACAGCTTCCCTGTTGTATGACCTGTATGGGGCAGTAGGATGGAATCATATTTTCAGTCAGGCTATTAGCAATGGGTCAGAGATTTGGGGTTGGTTCCACTCCAGAAATTTTTAATAGTGGATTATAATTCAGCTCTGGATATAAAGACTACCTGAGTCAATGATTATTGAAGCTATTTATTTAATGAAATTTGGAGTAGATTGTGTGGAAAATGGAAGAAGAAGAAAAAAAATAATTTTTTTTGCATTTAGTTTTTACCATCCTAATTTTTAAAGTCACAGTTCTGTGCTCACATTCTCTATGGCCTCCAGCCTTCTGTTCCAACCTGAGTGAAGGAAGTGCTCCAGTCTGCCAGTGGAGCTGCTGTGACAATGCCTCCCTCCTTCCTTTCAGGCAAAGCAAATCCGTGCTGTGCAGAATGTGCAGGCTTGGGGGGTTAGAGGTGTGAGCTGACTGTTGAAGAAGCTTAGCCAGGTGATCAGAGTAAGCCATTACCTCTGGAACCAGAAGTGGGAGCTTATCCACGTCTAAGTGACCAGACTAGAAGCATGCTGAGGATGTGTGATTCCCCCTGTGCCTAACCCTGTTAGTCCCTTTTCCCTCAGTCTCCCTTTCCATCAGTTTATTCAACAGGAGCAGCTTGGTATGCAGCAGTAGAGGTTGGCATTGCTGCTGTTACAGTATATGTGTGCTTTCATTTTAAAAAAATGAGAAACTAAGAAATTTGTAAAATCTCTGATACTGCTTAATATATTTTTGACATATTTGAATATATTACCCCTTAAGTAGTTCAGCCAATAAGCATACTCATTTCCAAATAAAGATGAGCACCCTTTAGCTAGCCACATGTTTTATGCAGAGGAGATCAATAGTGTTTACTAGTCTGCAAAAACTGGGAAAATACAGTATTCTGCAAGCAGAGTGTGCTGGGTCTGCACACTGATACCACTGAAGTCAAAATTAAAATGTACTGATTTTAGTGGGAACAAGTTTCAACTTTTATAAAAAGAATAAGGACAAAGCCAAATCAGTTAGGTATTCTTCAAAGAATAAGACATAACACTTACTGTAAAAGGAAAAAAAAGAATAATATTCCTGCCACAACTGGTCTATAGTAAGTGTAATATACTAATGCAAGTATAATATTTCCATTGGCTCATGTATCCACTTTATTTGACACATACAAGAATTGCATATGTCTAATAATCTGTGTTTTTAACATGAGAGAAGCTGGGTGTGGTCTGGCTTCCTTCTTGCAGAAGTCTATCCACTGCGCTTCTGCCATTATCATTATTATTGGTCTATCTAATTCCCATAATGAAAAATGCAAACAAAAGGGCTTCTGATTTCTGCACTCTATACAGAACTATGTACCCTCTACCCTTTCCCTAGTCCAGGTAAGATTGTTATCTTAGATAGTATTGTTTAATCAGTGATTGAAATGTAAACAAATCCCATTTTCCCTTTGAGCTGTTAATGGTTGCAGTGTATCTTTTCAGCCTGCCTGGGCTTTAGAAGCCAATGAAGTTTCTTGCAGAGGGTGCAGTATTGCAGTTTGTGCATATACCATTAGCCATTTGAGGATATTTTATAAAGCACCCACGAGGTCTGAAGGAGAGAGCCCATCACATGAGTCACTGTAACCAGTCAGGTTTCATTTCTGGGTGTTTTGCAAACCACCTCAAATCCTCAGATTTCAATGTCCTGGCAGTTCCAGGGTATTTGTATTATCATTTTATTAAAAAAAAAATACAACAGTAATACAAACACTCATACTGTTCTATATTCTCTTCATACATTCTCAAATAACAGAAAAAGTTCAATGTTCAGATGGAATCAAATGAAAGCATGCATTTACTATGTCAGAAGTTTTGCTAAGGAAATAAACATTCAGGTGAGAAGGGCAAAGTGGACAACCATGCTATTTAGATATCTGAATTGCTTATTTAAATCAGATTTGATCAGTGTTTGTGAAATACAAACCATTGTAGCTCTGTAGTTCTTCCCTGATCATACAGTGATTCCCAACCAATGCTGTAGAATAAAACATACCAAAGGGCTGGCAGCTAAAATTAGTTATTTTGAGTGTTGCTTCACCCTTCAGATAATTTCTGGAAGATTTTCAGCTCTGTCTCACTTGGAGGCAGGTTTGTATCATGACTGTGGTTCTCCAGCTAAATGCTATACAATATTAAAATAAAGGAACCCAAAGTGACCCATTCCCACTCTCAGAATGCTCCATCAGCCTATTCCCTTCTTTCCCTTCCAAAGTAGAAGTAGCTCATATATTTCTAGTGCTGGATATATTCAAATTTATGACAGTTTTCTAGGGTTTTTAGAGTTACCTCTGCTCTGAAAGGAGTCAGATCACATGCTTAAGTGGCAAAGGTTCAGCTGCTTTGGGAGATGACACCAACTCCTACAGAGAGTGGATATGAGCACAATCGAGCAATGAAGAGGTACCTCAGTGAGATACGTGAGTGCCAAAGTTTCAGTCTGGCATCAGCAACATGTTTTTTCCCCTCAGTATCTGGACTCAATGAATGAATCTTAATTCATCTGGTAACTGAAAGAACCCTCTGATCAAATGTTGAAAGCCACAAGCCAGTAACAGCTGTGTGGGTAGATGAGAGGTCGGATGTGCATCAGAATAAGATTTCCTGGGTGTTTTGATATTTCATAGCAAAAGCAGCAAGTGTAGCAAACCACATCAAACTCGTACTGTTGAACCAATTAAAAACATCAGCAAGTCATCTGTGCACTAAAGTCCATAAAGGTTAGTGAGATTAATTATTTCCTCCTTAACGACCACCACGAAGTAGGGGAAACTGGTCAATCTTCCTAAACAGGACACATAGTATTTTCTGTACGTCTGAGTTGGCTTGGCAGCATAGACCTGAAAGCAGAGTCAGGAAAAAAGGAGTAAAGAGTGTCAGTATTCATCACTGTGGATTTATTTATTGCTTTGCTAGGCCAGTGCACAGCTTTCAAATGAAGGTGGTATTAACTGAGGGAAGTATTCATCATCTCCTTTGTTTGGCATAAGATATAAATCTGGTCAAAAGACTGCTTAAAGGAAATTATTCTTGAGGATTGTGTAAAAAACCATATTGGTTTGGTTTTCATCAAGGCTGCAGTTCTGGCCACAAATAGCTAAGCAGAGCACCTTTTAATTGGGCTGTAACTGGCAGCATGTTACACTCCCTTTGCTCCAAAGCTGCATCTCAGACCACTCGCTCCTGATTCAGTCACATTTAGCTCATGATGGCTGCTCAAAGAGCAGATAAAGCAGTTAGCATCGCTGTATTTTTTGAGTCTAAACTTTGTGCTTACAGTTTTCCTGAAAGAGTAATATTTTCTATGTAAAGTATACTTTAAAATGTATTAGAATTTAACAACAAAGATATATACCTTCATAAGTACAGGCTATTAAATCAATTTACTAGTATGTCAACAAGTACCGATATGTACATAAAACCAGAATAATTTGGTTTGTTTTAATGCACTGAGCCAATCCAGCAGTGTGCTGTCAAGTGCTATTGAGAATCACTTTGCACTAACAGGATGACATGACTGGAATCACATTCACTGCACATCTTAGTTCTATTGAATGATGCAGAGCTGAAATGAATGACTGACACTTTGTGAATAAAAGAATAAAGCAATTGTGCCATTCACACTGCATTAAGGGTGAAAATTTACTTTCATTATATTGGGTGTTAAGATTCACTATGTTAGAGTTCATTAAAGTAGATGGGAGAATGGGACTCAGTGAATAACAATAAGTCATTTATCAAGGAAATCTAGTTTTTCCTTCTGTTTGTAGAAAATCCATAAACAAATCACAGCTACTTAAGAAGTGTTTGCTATGCAAACTTATTTTTAAAATAAGGAATTTTTTTTTCCCCAATTCTTAGCAGTTTGGATTGATTGTAATTTCTCTGTGAGGCTACAAGGTACTTGCTAGTCATATAGAATTGATTAGCCAGTTTGTCAGAAAGGTACATGATTAGCTGTCTCCCTCCTACTTGGATGTGTTTGCCTACTTCTCTAGAGCAAATACCAGCATGTACACATGCAAATGTAAATTTTTTCTTCATCAAAATCTCATCAATGACACTCTGAAGGCTATTTGCCATGAATGCTGGTGCCAAAAAAGTGGCGTTTCTTGAATTTCTGTGAAATGTAAACAAAAAATCTGATGTATAAGTAAATCAATTTGACATAATGTCAATATTTGCAAAGTGCTTTTACAATATTTCACTTTCTTTACAAAGTTGTATCTCTGTACATTCAAATTTGAAAGAAATTAGGCAGACAAAGAAGCCAAATAGTCAAAAATAATTAGTCTGACATACAAAATAAGCATCAAATAGCAAACATCTGCATTACAATGTGCAGTGCTTTGTTACAAAAGGCATATTTTGAATACAGACTGTGACAATATTTTTCCCAACGCTTTTTTGTGTTTATGGCTCCACTGAAGTCATTTTGCCATTAAGTGCAATGAGATCAGCATGTTACCCAAAACAATTGACCATTGTCCTATCTAACAGCCCAGTGCACATTGTTCTGCAGCCTTCCTCCTTCAAATGATAGGATCCCTCATGCCACAGATTTAACTTTCCCCTAGCAGTAAGTGCCAGTATCTGGTTGAGATCAGTGGATTAAA